ATCAGGTCCGTGTACACAAATTATAAACAAATATTCATCCATTACACTGCAAAAATTAAACAGCTGAAGCACTAACACTAGCTGAACTCCAAGCCCTGGTTGTCAATTATTTATGAACCCAAACTGACAGGACTGTCTACATGAATTAGCAGCATATGCCAAGGTTTATTATAAATCCCAGCCTACTGTAAAACTCATTTTCATAAAATGTATGTACGTGGCTGACAATATATCAACAGTTCCAGATTAATAATTCATTAGAATGATGCCATAGGAGAGCACAGACACTTTGCATTGGAGTCGATGTGCCAAATGGTCAATAAAGAAAAAAAAACTATTTCGTTCTTAATTTTCAAACTTCCATCACAGTTTAGATCTTAAATCAGTTCCATAATGGTCAGTGAGGACCAGGATATGGTTATTCAAGGAGAAATATAGCATGCAGAGCAAGCTTCACTTTTGTAGGAATTTAACCAAGTTTTGAAATATGCCCTCTATCATAAGCTTCTATATGAATACTCATTAACAGTTATGCATTTATAAATTGCTTTGAATACAAATCATATAATAAATTGACAAAGTTTAAAGACAATATATGCAGGTTTCATTGAATATTGTCCTTGTCAAATACAGTATGTTTACACGAATCATCTCATGCATGTTATCTTCGTTCACAGAACTGAAGTATTTATTTTGCTAGTATTACATATAAATAACATGAATTACAACCTATGTGCTAATTAATGAAAATTATTCTATAAAAACAAATATCTTGAAGCTCATATGTACTGGACTATATTTATTGATTATTTACTATCTGTGGGACACTGCTGTGCGCAATTGTCTGCTACGCTTTGCCCACAAAATACACAGTCACGTCACTGTACAGTATATTCTGTGAAGCGCTTTGAAATGGCTTGAAGATGTGATAAGGCACTATATCAAATGCAATGATTATTAATGTTGTTATGATAGCACTGCAGTCTACACTGTGTTATGCTTACCTCTCAGTATGCAAACCGAATGTCCTTAGTCTCTCACTCATCTGCAGCACCACTCTGTATTTAGCTGTTGTGCGTTATTTTTATATATTACTATTCTGTAAAAGCTCAAGGAGCTGAAAAAATCATACTCAAATGTATTTTTGACTTCAGTGCAGTGCTGGGGAGAAGCACTGCATTGTCACAGGTCTCGTCCTTCAAATGAAACACTAAACCAAACATTAAACCTGCCAACAACACAACAACTTACATTTATAATAGTGCCCTTCACGCGGGATAGGGTCCCGGAGTGCTTGTTCAGTTGGGCATTAAAGAAGCAACAGCACTATTTGAAAAGAAAAATAAGTTTCTCCCAGTATCCTGGCCTACAATGTGGAGTCCTGTAGCTCAGTGGTTAGAGCACTCGCTTTGCAAGCGAGAGACCTGAGTTCAATTCCAGGCAGAGGGCCAAACCTCGGGCAAGTTTCCTTACTCCACACAGAGCCTAATAATAATCCCTCCAAAACCAAAAACAATAATAAATTGGTCATTTTCAATCTACGACTGTTTGTGGGATATTGCTGTGCGCAATTGGCTGCCGCGTTCACCCACAAATATACAGTCAATTCACTTTACAGTATGTTCTGTGAAGCGCTTTGGGACGTCCTCCCGACGTGAAAAGCGCTATATCAAATGCAAGGATTATTATTATTATTACAATCTTACAGATAAAATTAGTCATACACTTCAAGGCTGATTGCGGGACATTGCTGCATGAAGATTGGCTTCTGCGTTTTCCTACAAAATAGGCAAAATAGGTGACCATACGCAAGATTGAAGAGGTCAGCTTTTCATAAAATAATTCAATTCCTGGAAGCGTAACTAAAGAGTGGAAGAATTTCCTTTTTGATATTACTGCATTACAACAAATGTGTTGTCTCGTGATCCTCATTCTGATCATAGGATCCTATAATGTTTGCAGAGGAAGGTGACTCGGATCATCATGTCTACTCATCTTGAACACAAATCACCGATAGGTCCAATGCAATAAATCCCAGTCAGAAAAGGACTGCTTGAAGAGCACTACTGCATTTAAACCCTTTTGTAATTCAGGGATGCGGAGAGGTGAGTTTCACTTGTGCTTTTAACAGAAGTGGAAAAGAGCACAATTAAAATGACTAAAACATTTGTTTTTCTGATGACTAGATTCTCCTGTCATTTAGATGGTGTGTCACAAAAGTATTCCGTGCTTTTAAGAACAGTAGCAATTTATAAAGTTTGCTGAACGGAAAACGATTCTGGCATTGGTACACTGGCTGGGTAAAGAATCCAATAAAAACTGCAAGCTGCCTTCATTAAAGCATGTATATTATTTTTGTTTCTAAATGAGTTGGGCACACAGAGAGAGAGCATTGTGCCATCTTGCCCCATTGCACTTGCTCCTGTATTGAGTCGAATTGAGGAGAATTGCCGCTTTAGGCTCATTTCAAAGGCTGTGACTGTGTGCAAATTGGAGTGGGTGTGGAAAGCATATCAGAAAGCAGTCGTTCTGCCTCCTCCCCTCCCCGCCTAATCATGTCATCACCCTCCTGACCTCAGAGCTTCTCCCATGTGGTGTAAAGGTCACAATTTGCATTCCACTGTACAGCAGAATGGGCAATTATTTCAAAACCTCTTATTCTGAACGGTAAATGCTGCAAGCAGCTCATCCATAACGATATCAACAAAACAGTAACACAGGACTGCTCTGGAAACCCTTTGTTATTTTGGAAAATTAACGCAGCGGTATTTTCTGCTTGACATTATAATTGGGCAAAAGGTGCAATGTCGTTGCTTTTTTGTGTTGTGTTTGGTATTTCTTTTTCCCAGCAGATATGGTGAAATGAACACTAGAAACAATCATGATGTTGTGGCTGCTTTTGAGAGTTACTTTGCACACACAGAATTTCCCCAGATGCAGCCAACTCTCAAAGCGTGGTAATTGCGGATTTTAGTGCTCATTCACTCCAATTAGTTGGTAGCTACATCTAGCACACAACTCTGAGCACCCATTCCCCTGTTTGATAAATGTCTAACTGTATGTAGAAATTTCTTGATCGCACAAGGGGATTCAAATTCAGTTTAATTGTGGCTAGCTGAGGCACTTCACACACAAAATGGTGTAAAGCAGGAAACATTTCTAGGCAAATTAGAAATGCTTCTGAATGCTTCTGACAATGACAGCTGGCTCTCAACTTGTGAAATGTTCGCTCTTTCGAGAAAATTATTAGAATACTAAATTGACCCTGATACAGGTGAAGACATTGGTTGCAATAGATCGGTACTTACTTTTTATGTGTCTCTATCACACAAACAGTATTTATGCCTGTGGTTAGATGGAAAATTATACATCTGCAAAATGTCACTGTTATTTTGTGAAGAAAGACAGATAAACTGTTGGTTGAATGGGTTGGGAAGTGAAGTAAATAACGCAAGCTCACGCAAACTCCTATCGATAACTATGTGAGGCTAATTAGTGGCAACGCTCTCCAAGTGAACTATAATGATGAATTACCTTTCAGATATTTCTGCCACCATCTGAGACACAAAAAAGCAAGAGATTGAATTTCGAAGAGGGGTGAGGTGAGGACTTCCCTTAATGCCCCTGAAGCAGAAACAAAAGTTTTGGAAAGGACTAAAGGAAATGAACCACTTTAAAATGCAGTTGTGGACACTTATTCAATGCGTCATTCACTTGAAATCCCTTATCGACCTTCATCTAGCGAAACAAAAATGTAAATCTTTTGTTCTGTTCTTTTTTATCCTTTATCCTCTCACCTTTGGAACTGGTGTCAAAATACAACCAAGGTCATTTTTAGACCGTCTATTGTTTTTTCCAAGATACTCTGGAAAAAAAAGTGTTGTGATAGACTTGACCCCTGAGGCCCACCGCCCCAAAATACAGACTCTCAAGGGAGAATACAGAGAGTCATCGTGTCTGGATTGCACATAGTGCAAAGTTCCACAACAATTAGATCTGTGCCCATTTCTCAATCATGACTCAAAGAACTGTTCGAATTGTAAATGCGAAAAAAAATTTTGAATAGGAAGAGAAATAATCAGATTACTGCAGTTAATGTTATATAATGATACACGCAAGCACACTTGCACACATTAGCACTTTCGTAACACTTTGCAAATCTGCTTTTATAACCATGCAAGTCTTCACATCTAATCAAATTTATAACAGATCTGGATTGTGGACTAGAATCTTTAATAGGGCCCTCTCTTTAATGACTAAGTGTTTGACCAACATTTTGTTTTCATTATCATTAGAAAATGAACAGTTATTAAACTTTACAGCACATCTGTGAAGCACTATGTGAAACCCTCCCACCATGAAAGGCACTATATCAAATGCAAGGATTATTATTATCATTATTACCAGTGGCACACAAGAAAGCACTCCTTATGGAAAAAAATTGTATTGTGCAGAATTACATCTGTTTGGTCACCCTGTATAAAGGATTTGAATTTGCCTCGCAGTGCAGAAACATAGCGAATGGCTGGCAATGGCATAGCCCTTTGTTGACCAGCTGTCTGAGTGAAGCACATGTGTTGTTGACGCCAGCCCGATGGAAAGTAACAGCTGACAACTGTGTGTGTGTGTGCGTATGAGTGCGTATGTGTGTGTGTGTGTATATACGGAATCATTCCCTTGCGTTCCAGACTTTGCCAATGAATGAGTCATGATATCTGTCAGAAGCCGCATGTTTACTGTTAGCGTAAGGCATTCGTGGGCTGAAGTTGTAAGTATATTTTCTCCTGTTCTTTTCTTCATTGTTCAAACCCACCCACGCAAACGCCAAACTGTTTGTTAGTGATGCCGTGAAACATCAAGTATTGTCCGGGTGCAGAGAAAAATTTTAGGCATTTTATTGACACAAACCACTGGAAAGTCCATGAGTGCGGTGAATTCAAATTGCATGAAAATGGAAAGCAGTGCCATTTGTAATCTGAATTCAACCCTGAATTCTAGGTAACCGTCACTATGAGTGCATTGCATTATATGCTTGAGTCATTCTTACACTGTGGATTGCTTCAAACGGGGGACATGCTGTGCTTGTGTGGTGAACAACTGAACAATGTAAGAGAAAAAGAGCACATTATAAGCTCAATATTGGCATCCATTAGTGCGTATTTAACATCATTATTTACAGTTGTACGGTAATGTAACTTGAACTGAATACTAGGGATGTACAAGTAGTGAATTTAAAAAATTGATTTGGACGGATTTGTAAGTTTTGTGGTGAATTTGGATTCAGAATATTTGATCAAAATCAACAGAATGTGATCTTTGATTAGAATTCTAATTGTTGACTGTACATCTAGTGTTGACCATGATGCGTTTTACAAATTGTAAACATGGATGCTTCATGTTCAGTGAAAAATTCCTGTTAGAATTGAAATTGAAAAAGAAATATGATTTAAAAAAATAATAACCTTTGCTTTTGATGTAACCGCTTACCATGTCTTCGAGACATTTCAAAGCGCTTTACGGAATATACAGTAAAGTGAATTGACTGTAAATATTGTTTCCGAAACACGGCAGCCAATTGCACACGGCAGTGTCCCATAAACAGCTGTGGATTGAGCGACCAAATTATTGCTAAATTAGTGGAGTAGAAAGACCTTGAAACACAAAAGGATTCTAACAAAAACAGAAATCGGTATAAGCAAGGCATGAGTTTAGTTATGATGGGTTGAGACTTCTAGTGGGAGAATCTCCATAGAATAAAATAAGAAGAAAAATCACTATGGAGAGAATTGCAAGTAAAAGCCTGTATCCTGGCTCTCAGTGGTATTGTACATTGCACATCAATGAACTGGGCCAGGCTTGTTTGTTTTATGATCTTACATATAAACAATGAGAAAATACAGAAGTGATATTGATCCATGGATGGAGAGCCTTTGAGAATAAACCAGGGACAGATGAGCCAAGGAAGAAGTGTCTTGGTGACAGTAAAATGGCTTGGGTTAATCAAAGTTCATGGAAGTATATAAAATGATATCACAGTGATGAAGTGTCAATGGAAAGGGCTACTCTACACAGTAGGTGAGTCTGAGCAATCGGGTCAGTAATGTGTCGCACAAAATTGAACAATACAGTTGATCCAGGGCTTAATAAGTCTTTGATTACTATCAGTTTGAGTCAGTTGCAAAATTTGATCCAAGTGAGATAAATTTGAATGCAGAAGAAAGGTGAGGAATTGGAAAGTGCGGGATGTGCATTCACCAAAATAAGAGCAGTGAGAATTGGTTGGGATACTTCACATTTGTATGGTCTTAGAAATCAGAACATCTTGCAGCCAGTCTAGTTAGTACTGAAATTCAAATTCAATATCTGAGTAATGTTTATTTACCAACAGATTGTAGGAGAAAAACACTTAGCAGAGTGCCCTGGTTTCCAAAAATAAAGAATTCTGAAACATGATCTTTTTATCCATTTTTTTAATGAAACATTGCTCATGATTACGCATCCATGATTATTCCTTTTAAGTGCTGTATCTACCTGTTTTAGATGTTATAAATACAGTATTGTCATGAAAAATATTGATAGCTATTTTGCTAAGAGTTCTTTGCTTATTTACTTTAGTTATAGGTTATCATAGAAATGTGAATAGTTCTGGTATGATTTTGTCGGATGTTATTGAAATATATAAGTAAAATTAGGAAAAATTAAGTTAATTTTAGCTCTGACTTTCATTACTTCATGTGACAGTGTAACTGTTCCATGTGGTGTAAGGTTGTGCCATGTGAGTGTAATCTTTCTGTCTCCTAATCAGTGACTCATGTGGCGTATAAAATCAAGTGCATAAATTGTACTTTAAAGTAAAGTTGGAAATGTGACTTTTAGATTGGTGTATCCAATTTACAGGATTTCATGGATACTGTTTTTGTGATGCATGTAATCTGTTATATGGCTCATGCAATTATAGTTGCAACTAATGTGATAATACCGTGGACTATATAAAGACTTGTACAGTATGTTCAGTCTAATATAGTAATAGCGAGTGTTGCTGGAAGTTCTGAGGTTGCATTCAGTATTCTCCAAACTGCAAATGTTTGCCTCTTCCTATCAGTATTTAAGCTACACCTACAGTAGACCTTTGCTATAATTGATTTGAAAACTCGCTCTTGTACCTTATTGTATCAAAGTGACTCAGAGTGCTTGTACTAACTCTGTATTTGCAATTCATCTGGCAGAATTGAGTGGAACAAATTGTTAAACTGTTTGAAAACCTGGACATGTTTTGAACTGGTGAGAGCGACATATTACTTTACTCGTGCTTTGAAATAGGGGACACTGGTTCGGAAACTGTAATTACATCCTGACTTAATTGCTTATTCTTCCTTAAGTCGTGTAACAAAAGATCACAAAGCGTATTTGCACAGTTACTCGTGCAGTATTCATTGTGCACACTGGTCCTGGCATCCTATTCATGAGCTCAGTATAGTAAGAAACTTGTTCGAAGGCTCTCAATAGTCATACAGTGGCCTATGTTGTCAAGAGAATATATATATTCAGTGGCTGTATTTCAGAAGCACTTTGTGACAGCAAACAAACCAATTATTAAAAAGGCAAAGGTCAAGAAACTGGTTATATACTGCAGAATAGTGTCTTATATTGTATCAATATATAGTGTCTTTAATGTCACGGACTACTTCAAAAGACAGAATCGGACAATGAGTAAGGGAGGTGATGAGGTGACTGTAAGTGCTGTTAAAGTTGTAGGTTTTTAGATAAAGAGGGGACAAGACGGAGGGGTACAGAGTGGAAGACTCAGGAGAGTAGTTGCTGAAGGCTCAGACACTGATGTCCGCGAAGGAATGGTGAATTATGTGCAACAGGTTTGAGCTATCTGAGTGGAATGGGTGAGTAAAAGAGTACAGTGGGAGAAGAGCAAAGAGATAAGGAGGTGCTATGGCATGAAAGTATTTATAGGTGAGGGGGAGGAATATGAGGATGAGTGCTAACAGAAAGCCTATTATGCTTCCAATTTGATCATATGATCTGCTTGTCAACCATCATCTTGAAAACATCGACTTTTAAAAATTTCACTTTCATTATCTTGCACTAGAATCAGCTTAAATTTTAACACGACTGGTGGCAAATATGAATGATGGGTTATTTATGCACTTTGCAGCTGCATTCCCCAAACGATTTGTTATCGGTAAAGCTATATTACCTTTTGCAATGTAGCACATGTCCAGGGTAAGAATGTAAGGCACCATTCCTGCCACGATGCAGTCAAACCAATGATATCTGGGAAAAAAAACTGAGAAAATTCTATTGTACCTTGTGGTACAGTAACAGCTTATTGATCAAGTTGGAGTAGGATTGACGGCATTCTGCAGCAGTAAGGACTAAATGCAATAATGCTATTCCACATTCTTTACAGGTTGTAAAACACTATCGTGGGCAGCAATGGTCTTCAATCTAGCAAATCTAGTCGAACGCTTTGTACCAGTGTGTGATATGTGGATTGTTTTTTCTCAGTTATTTTTTCTTTTGAGTTTTTGGGGGATTCTCATTTGATACATAATCGGCTGCATAAGTGTGGGTGGCACCAGTTTGCATGCCGGAAATCACCTTGATGCATTTTTCCCACCTTCACACAGTCTTTCTTGAGAGAAACATGCTTGGCTTTTGTTATGGTTGAACTCGAGGGGACTTGCCGAGCGAAAAGGATAACCGATTACGAAAGAAAAATACAGCAGAAAGTAATGGGCTTTTCTTGACTGCAGGTTTGTTGATAGATGTGGACCTGCTCAAGATGCTGAAGTTTGAAAGTCGATTGGTACAAGTGCGTCAGGCGTGTGTACCAGCTGAATTTCCAGAAAACAAAGAGAAAATGCTTGAAATCCAATCATTTCAGAAATTCCTCCAAAAGCTAAGGTACAATGGAAAGTGTCTATGCATTAAGCCACTTAACCCAGTTACAGTTCCGGTGTGTGTTCTTTTAACTCTTTGGCAATAAAGCACAATAATAATAATCTTTGCATTTGATATAGCGCCTTATCACGTCTTCGAGATGTCTCAAAACGCTTCACAGAATATACTGTAAAGTGAATTAACAAGGAAAAAAAAAAGGGAAGGATATGAGGTAAAGGGGTATTGGTGGGTCTAAACAACAACAACTACAAATTACATTTGTATAGGGACTTTCACAACGGGAGGACATCCCAAGGCGCGGGAAAGTCATGTTGCGATCAGGAGGGGTGGAAGGCGGGGAGGGTAGGTGTAGGAGGATGACCGAAGGCGCAATCGAAGAGGAGGCTCTTGAGACCGATGGCTATCACGAGAGCCGTCACAGGTGTGATGGGCCGAATGGCCTTCTACTGGGGAACTCCCACATACAGAGGTTCCCCCACAGGGAAGGAGAGGAAGTTGGTGTTCTGGCCACCCTAATCTGCACTCAAGCAGGGGTAAGGTGTCCACCCAACAGTATACAAGCAGTGTTTTATGGTGTGTATTTGTATTATTCCTGATACTGAATAGATTCTCGACTGCAACTTATTTGTTGGACCGAGTTTTGTTTTCCATTCCTGCTTCAGGCCCATCATGCACCATAACTGTGGCTAACAGAATAAATAGGTGACCCACTCCCAGGTCTCTGCGATTCGCCAGAGTGGCCTGAGGTGGATTATGCTCCAATCTACCTCTTTCTCTCTCTCTATGAGGAATGCATGGTTTCTGCTCACCGATTGCACCTCCAGGATTGAAAACTGCTGTGACTGCTTTGAGAATCACAGGCATAAACTCTTGCCCTATCAATAACACATCATCATTCCATACCACAGTTAATTAGCTATGTCATCACACTGTCTGTCAATATTGTAGTTGTTCATAATAAAGAATTTGAACAAGGTGTAAGGAGATTATTCAGCTCATTCATCCTTGTCTTCAAAGTTCTGTTTCTGGATTCAGTCTGAATTTTATTTGTTCAATCAGGTGTTGTCCCAATTCCCTTCTGAATGCTTGAAAATAAGCCACGATTGTTCCATAAATCAACTGTTCTCAACAGTGAAATAATTCTTTAAATTATGTTTGGAGGCGTTAATAGGAAATATGTTTTCATTTTGTTTCTTAAAGGTTGCTGAGTGGGCTGGCAAAAGAAGCAGTTTTCTACAACCTCCGAGTTCCAGACCAGTTTCAGAAATCCAAAGAGGAAATCAATGTGGTTGTTCTCACAGGTATGAGTTGTAGTTTTAAATCTCATCTTAACTTTTGGGTTCCACGTAATAATCCTTGCATTTGCATTTGATATAGATAGCGCCTTAACACATCTTCGAGATGTCTCAAAGCGATTCACAAGATATACTGTAGAATGAACTGACTGTGTATTTTGTGGGCGAAACACGGCAGCCAATTGCACACATGGCACACTCTGCTACAATGTTCAACCGTTCATCTGTATATACAGAATTTGATGCAGACAACATTGGTTTCCTCTCTAACATCTTACCGTCCTCTGGGCAATAGCAGCCACTGGAGCCTTACATCTGACAACAATGCCAAATGTGGATAACCTCAAAACTTTACCAGGGTTGATTTCATTAAAGCAAATAAATAACTATTGTTCTGGAAAATTATAATTTAAAAAGAAAAGAAAAAAAAATCAATATGCTTTTTAATTGCCCAATTTTGAGTAGACATTTTGTATACACCATGTGTAGTGGAGCATCCCCAATTCTGTTTCAGTTGAGCAAATAACTTTCATTGTTTCATGCTCTTATAATCTATTCCGTTGACTTCACTGGTGATATTTTAGGACAAGGAGTGTTCTGTCTGGATCTGAGGAATTGGCGGGGTAAGGTATCCATGCAGGATGACTTTTGGCTGCTAGAATCACCAGAGAGCTCAGAAATGATCAAAAACACTTCAGTCAAACAATTTGCTGATCCCGTCCAGAGAATTAAGGTAAGGATTTGTGTAGCACTGTCACAGAAGGTATGTAACATTGTTTTTGTGTTGCCTGTTTGAATGCATTTTAATGCTTCAGTGATAGACTTGTTCACGTCTATAAATTATTTCCCAAGTCCCTACTGTCCATTTTGAAAGGTGGGGCAACTTTTTTAAGACCTTTTTCACATTGGCTGAAGAATTTATCAATTTGGCAAATCTCAAATGGTCTAAAATGCTATGTAAATGGAGTGCTTATTCTCAGTGTTATTAAGTATTATTCTTAGTATCAAGATGCATGAGCTGAAAACTTGTAGGACTACTTGGGTCAGGGTGATAATGGTTTGCTTAGACATGATAGCTACCCAAGAGTTAAGATAATCTGCTCAGGACAGAAGGAAACTGATGTGATTTGTGATTTTACTGGAGCGATACTAAAAGTGCAAATAAGACTGTTGTCAATCATAAAACTACATTATCATTGGGCAAATCAAATAATATTAGCACCTGTCTTTAAAAGTGTCTTGCACTTCATTAATAAGCTTCAACAACTAGTTAAACACAGATCAACTAAAAGGCACTTTCAGTGCCTCGACATTCAGATCACAACTGCAGTATTCAAATCACCACTAAGATCATTTTTCTCTCAAAGCATTCGAGCACCTGCTTTATTACCATGCCCATTTATTTTTGTATAAATTTGTTAGTTATACCTGTATATCTTTCAATTCTCGTTGCTCTTTTCCTTCATTTTTCAATGTATTTTTCTCTTTTTATTATGCTATCTCCTTTGGCCCTCTGTTTCACCTCAAGCAAGCTGGAGATCTTGAGCTCAATTTTTGGAATGTCAGCACATTTCACAATAACTTATTGCCAGGCAGAAAATAGACTTGACATCAACGTTCATGTAGGAAGTGTTAATGCCTAGTTGCATTCTCCGATATGGATTTAACACGCCAGTAATTGCTTAATGGTAATGGATTGAAATTCCTATTGAACCAATTATTAAGGGGTAGGTCCAACTAAGATATGGGTGCATTTAAATTGGGTAAGGCACCATAAGTCTTTATGCCACGTATATTATAATATGCTTGACCAGGCTTTGCATTAAGTGTGTGCATTTACTGTTGCTTTCCTTGTATATTAAAAAAAATGTCATGCGTAAAAATAAGCGTTTAGATCTTGCATCATGAACTAATATTAATAACTTTTACCAACATTGCCGGCTTGTGCAATATGCCTTACAAATCCATTTAAATTATATCACATTTCTAGTGTTCTCAATGGACTCAGTGTAACGCTTGTGACTGTGACATTTTTGCACAGAATTAAATTAATTTCTTTGACATGGAAAGCTACTTTTTATGAATATATTTGTGAAAGTAGGATCTAGGGAACAGAATAGGGACAGAATAGGGCATCACTTGCGCAAATTAAAATCTTAAAATGTAAAAAACAGGCTGGTCAATTACAAATAGAGAGTTGCAGGGCACGTAGCAGAATATTTCACACCTTAACAAGGGTGTCTCTTAACAACAAACAAAACAGTAGCAATGTACAGTCAACTGCAAATACCTGAGGTCACCATGAGAATCTCATTCTGTTGACCTAAAAAGAGAAGAATTCTCTTAAGTGATCAATAAATAGAATTTTTAAATCCGAAGTCGCTGATTCTGAGAGAAGATTTTTTCTTTTCTGCTGAAGAAAGAATCACAAATGAGGACTGTAGATACTGTACCAATTTATTTAATAAATGGTCATTTTAAATTACTGTGCGCTGCAGCGTTTGCCTACAAAAAAATCACCACACACTTTACAGTAAATCCTGCAAAGAGCTTTGAGATGTCCTCCTGACATGAAGGGCTCTATAGCAAATGCAGGGATTATTATTATTATCATCATTAATACAACAACAAATTATCTTTTATAGCACCATTCACATTGGGTTGATGTCCCAAGGTGCTGGACAGTTGAGGATTTTCACCTGATTTGGGAGAGGTAGGGACTAAGGGAAGCGGGAGGAATGACCGATAATAATAAAATTAATAATTATAAGACTTTCTTTTAACCATCTATCAGCTCATAGGATAATTTCACCAATTTACTTTTAATAGCTTATCAGTGCTAACATATACTAACCAAAGCTTGCCTTCTACTGGATTATGTGGACTGAAAGTTCAGGACTGTCATTTATACACTTATTCAATGCATAAGAATTGTTTATTCCCCTTTCGGGACAATACCACTGACATCTATCATGTAGTTTTGAGCATTCTGCTGACTGTAATCTTAGAAGTACAGGTAGTTCATTTGAAACCTTCTGCAATATTGAAGCATTTCATTTCAGTCAAATTATATGACAGCCTGGACAGGCAAACTCCTATAAAGCGTAGAGAATACTTAGGCGAATAGTTTTGGCCACCACTCAATTTGAGAATTTTTTAATAAGCATTAGATGCTCTCTCTCTCTCCTTCCCTCCCGGATTAACTGGGCTGAGGATACTGACAAGCATTTTTGTTTCAGCGGTTGATGAAGTAGTTAAGAGGTAGTGTTGCTGTGGTTACCGTGTTTATACACTGGGGAGGATAAAGAGCCCTGATCGATATCGCAATAATATTCTGGTACATATGCGTATGCTGTTATTTGAGGTGCTGCATGTGACTGAAAATCCTTCAGTACAAAAGTGCTGCCCCTTTTAATGTAGCTATTTAATTTTTTAATGTTCAATATTTAAATGAGGCGAAAGCTAATTTTTGAAGCCTAAGTCTCCATGGTTGAGCAGGAGGGCCATTGGAACTACTTGTTCTTTTTTAACCGAGCAAAGCTCTTCATCTCGATTGCGATAATAATGCTTGTTGAAGAAGACAAGTGTCTCAACACAGCTGTCAGACTCAAGTCATGTCCTCTGGATAGGTATAATTGTTTCTCTAGAATGAAGCTAAATGCTGACAAATGCTAGGGTTTAGGCTTTTGGAAGTACTTCATAATTTAGATCTGTGAGTATCTCAAACCCTTACCTATCCATTCCTTTTGTTTAAAGCTTCTCAGTTGCTTGTATTTTTAATGAATTTTGCTAATTGTGTGCAATACGGGGAAGTAATTATTCCAGATGTGCTGTCAAGTAAACATTGTCTCTGTCAAAATGAAACCTAATTTCAGGCTCCTATCTAAAGATCATTAGTTTCGTTATTACCTTTTACTAAAATGAATGTAATATTGGTGTGCTTATGTAACTTTGGGTTCTTGACGACCACTTTGGATCAAAATGCGCTTGTTCATTCCCACATTTTAAAGGCATCAAAGGGCACTTTTCGGACAAGAATTTTAGCCCGTAGATTTGATTTTGAATCACTCTTGCTAAAGTTCATCATCCAATTACTCCATTAGTTTCAGGAATAATAGTTGGAATTTCACATGGCATTTGTAAACTAACTTGTCTCTTTAACTTGTTAAGACATGATTTACCTCTTCTGGAATTTAAATAGTTGCCTTGCCTAATCATATTATTTTTTCCAATAGTGAGCATTCTGAAGGATTATTTGTGTCTGAGCATTCCATTGCTGTAAAAAAAATGAAATGCACTGCCACACAGTCGCAACAACATTAATACACTGAACTATGAAGCATTTACATGGCTCTGTCTGGAGGCTACATTGTGGTGTTTAAGGAAATTTCCAGAAAAGTTCAGGCATAATTTAATTGCCGGTGGAATTTTCAAATCTGTTTCAGCCAAGGGGTAAAGCAATAAAACTGTTCTTTGGCACAAGTTTATTAGGCTCTTACATTCCATTCTCCTGGACAACAATCCCCAAAAATAAAATTGGTAATTTACTGATTGTGGGACATTGCTGTAAGAAAATTGATTGCTGTGTTTAGTCTGGAACATATAATAGTCCACTGACTGTGTCATTAAAGCACTGACTTACATAACATTAAAAGGTGCTATATCAAATGCAAGGATGATGATTGTTATGAGAACTCTCAATTTTGGTTAATAATTTTCAAATGGTCAAATTTTCTACAGAGGCAATATCCTGCTAGTCAAAATAGTGTTAATTGGGGGATTTAATTTGATTTAATTTGATGAATTTAATTAATGAAATTAATTTCATGAATTTAATTTAATGAATTTCATTTAAATAATGGAGATAGTTTGTGGGGCACTGCTGTGCGCAATTGGCTGCCGCGTTTCACCCACAAAATATACAATTCACTTTACAGTATATTCTGTGAAGAGCTTTGAGATATCTCAAAGATGTGATAAGGTGCTGCATCAAATACAAAGATTAGTATTATCATTATTATATTTGTGGATCTGGAAAGTGTAAAATAGTTTGTCAAGTCCTTCCCCAGCTCTAATACCTTGATACTATTGATTTTTGCAAGCTGTAACATGACCCCTTAAGTTCGACGGCTGCAATGTGTTTTCCGAGTAATGTTTATGAACTAAAATTAAACTGAAATCAAATACTGCATGCATGTCGCTTCTCAGGACAGTGTTATTGCTTCTAAGAGAAATTGCAAGAGATAACTGTTGCTTGGAAGAATCCCAGAAAGGTTCCGTCTACAGCTGCCTTTATCCTTGTGAGAGCCACGTGCTATGACCTGATCCCCATTCCCATCACGTGAACAGTTATTTTTATGGTTGTTGATCTGAAACAACTTACTTCACCACTTGCTGGGGAGACAAATGAAATCTTTTCCTACAAACGATTGCCATGAAGCTTCTCAGCAGAGCAGGACTAAACACGCTGAAGGAGGCATTCTGTTTCTAAGATGTAAATATTTTCCATTACTTATTAGTGAGCACTAAAAGGACTTGCTAATAATAAGCTTCCTTTCTGTTGGTCGGTAGGTTAGTCGGTCAGGCACTTTGCCTGAATGGTATCAGTCTAATGGAATATTGAGTGTAGGTAAAATGAGGTTACAATGACAGCAGCAGTCCTATGCTGGAGATTTGTTTGATCACTGAGAGAACTAGTAAAAGAAACTGGAAAGTGGTACTGTTGTGCGATTAGCTTCATTATGTGCACGCGATAATCTATCTGTTTGCAGGTCACAATGTGGGCGGAAGTGGGGAAACAGATTGAGAAGGGATATAATGAAATGCATGTCCAGCGCGGCATCTTTGAGGCAAGCACCTTCGATAACCTGGTTTATGCTGCCTGAAGCAATTCAGAGCAGGGAGCTATAGTTCTCTCTCTTGCACTCATCTGGGCCTAATGTGAGCTTTGTGCATGTACAGATTTTGCGAGGGGCAGAGTAGTGGAAATTCAATTGTGAGAGTGTTAAAATGGATCGTGAAATAAACTCTTCATCTGAACCAATCTTGTAAATTGAGAAGAGGGAGGCTTAAAGAAAGGAAATGGTAGCTGCCAAAGGCACCCTAGTGAGGTGACCGGTCAAGATCCTCACTGAAGTGCTGTCATTGAAAGGGAGATAGAAAATATAGGTTGCTTTCTCCTCTGATTCTTGGCCCCCAGTTGTTATAATGAGCCAGGCTTTCCGAAACTTTAAATGAATAAGAGCTCAGAGAAGTGGAGCATGTTTTCTATGAACTTGAATATTTTTAATACACTTTTTGGTTGGGCCGAGTGGCCTGTTTCCATGCCGTACATTTTTTGAAAATCTTTGTAAATTGGTGACAAAATCTTTCTTTATCACAAAGCCTGAAGTGGGATTAACAGCGCAACCCCTATTAATGAGTAGAATAATGTATAGGTCTTCACGAGCTCCATTGTTTTCAGTAAGTGGCAAGTATTGCTTCAGTGACCCAGCCAAATGTATCAAATATCTATTAATTTAGCAGATGTGGATTTGAATAATATAGAGAGGATGCACAACATGGAAGCACAACTGCAGAAATAAAAGGTGAACCATCAAAAGACTTTGAATTATCACAAGGTTGGTTTAGATGAAGAGAAGGTCCTTTGGCCCATCTGACCTCATCCCTCCAGAATACCATCTCTACCGTCCTCTCAATACAGCTTAATAAAGTCCAAAACGATTTGACATAGGGTTCCCAAATAAACTAACATATTGGGAGAAACCTCCCTCTTAAATATAGAAAGTTCCTTTGCATTCAGAGTCCAGATAACAATCATCGAAGCATATTGTTTGATGCAGAATATCGTAAAGTTCAAGATAAGATCAAGTACCGAAAATTCAACAATGTTATTAATGGTGCACTGCATAGGCTTTGCTTCTTTGACAGAAAAATTTAATCACATTGGCATTATGTTGACAGGTTATATTATAAACTGATTTCGGGGACATAGGAAATCAGACCTTCTTTGGAAAATCTGTGTTAGTGGATTAGACAACAGCACTTCATTTTTACTTATGGGATATATGCTCAAACCAGGCACATACGCATACAAAGGCTTCTTACTGTGATCAAAACGCAAAATACTGCAGATGCTGGAAATCTGAAAAAAAACAGAAGTGGCTGGGAACACTCAGCAGGTCAGGCAGCATCTATGGAGAAAGGAAAGTGAGTCAACGTTTTGGATCCACGACCCTTCGTCGGAACTGATTGAAATTCTGACAAAGGGTCATGGACCCGAAATGTTGAATCACTTTCCTTTCTTCATAGATGCTGCCTGACCTGCTGAGTGTTCCCAGCCACTTCTGTTTTTGTTTTATTCTGTGATGCCTGTTATGTCTGAGTGAAATACCTGGACTTTCTGTATACCATTTCCAGTAGAACAGGACGCACAACTGCAAAACTGTGAATCCTTAGACTCCAACAACAACAACAACAAAATGCAACAACAACAAAAACTTGGATTTATATAGCGCCCTTCTGGGAACTTGAACTATATTTTTTGATTGGACCGAGTGGGCTGTTTCCATGCTGTACATTCTTTGTAAATCTTTGTAAATTGGTTGCAAAATCTTTCTTCATCACAAAGCCTAAAGCATGCTTAATTCTTATTAATAAGTAGAAGCTCGAAGCCATGTACCTGGCTTCTCTAACTTCACCATGGGGTGGAGAGGGAAGGGAGTAAGTCAATCAGGTACCATTCAACCCATTCAATATGAAAAATATCACTTAATAATAATCCTTGCATTTGATACATGAATCTCAAATTCTGCCTCTTTTTTTCTCTTTTTTTCATTCTCTGCCCCACCATTATTCACTCGCCTCTTATTCTACCGCAGACCAAAACATCCAATTTGTGGAATCACCTGATGAAAAATGGTGTGTGTCTCCGCCAGACTGTCTTCTTTCCGCGAGTGGTCTTTCTGAATCCCAGCTCTGAACTGGACCCAGAACTGCTACAGATAAATGAGGTCATAGCTCCGTGCAATGTGGAATCCTTTCTTTGTTCTTTTAAAGAAGGCTACATGAAATGGATCGCTGATATTATCACACCGCATTGGCTGTCTGGTGAGTACGGACACAGCTTTTTATGCAGTATTTTTACAGAATATACCAGTCACACACGTTTAGTTGAAGAATCATGGTTGGAGCGCTCACCTCGTAAGCGAGAGACCTGGGTTCGATTCCCGGCAGAGCGAAACGTTGGGCAAGTTTCTTTGCTCCGCACGCCTCAGTTTACGCTCACAAACTAGAGTTTCCTAATTCTTTTAGGAACCACAGAAACCCGACCTCAAAGCTAAGGCTGAATTCAACAATTCAGCCAATTCTAGGTCCCCCTAAATGCTACGTATACCCCAGTGGAATTTCTCCACAATTGTGTAAATAATAATAATCCTTGCATTTATATAGAGCTTTATCATGTTTTCAAGTCATCTCAAAGGGTTTCACAGGATATATTGTAAAGTGTAGTGACTGTGTACTTATGTGGACGAAACCCTGAAATGGCAGATCTCCTTAGGAGGAAATGTGACTGATCACTTTGAAGTCACCTCCGTAAATGTATGGACAAATTAGAGATGACTTGATGTTGGAAGCCCAGCTCTTGACTATTTGAAAGTCCTGTATGCTTTTGCAAAGGAGTCTGGTTTAGCAGGAATGAAGGATTTGAATTAGGATTATTAGTGATAAATCTCTAACATTTGCAGTAATACATTTCACATAGTTAACTTTATTCGGATGCTGTTCAAGAGACTGTACTGATTTACTTTTGATAAATGTGTCTTCCTCTAAATTCCAATCGCCATTGGCTAATCAGGGAAGCCCAATAGATACCCATACCCACTGTGAATACAGTATATTACCTTCTCTAAACCAGTCTCTCCTATTTTCAATTGGAAATTTCATCAGGAACTAATTAATTCTCTCTTCTCTTCGCAAGCCAGTGATTCTTGCTGGGATACAGTTCCACAGATACCACAGCAACACTAGGCTCCCTCAATCTAGAATCTTTCAACAGATATTTTGAAGCACTTGTTTCGATATTATGCTCTCTGTACTGTTAGAAAATGATTCAAACCTCCCTACTGATGCTCTAGACGTGAATTAGTACATGGGAAATTACAATTGTGATGGTGTTAATAAAAATCACATTACCTTGCTTGAAATGAGTCGGCAGTGTACACAAATGTATAAATAAGATGCATACGGTGCTCAGTTTGCCTCATAGTCATTGAAAAAACGTGAGATGTGCCAGATTTCATTGCACAAAATGCCACGATAGAAGTTTAAATACTGGAGACAGCTGCTGCATTAAAGTAAATGGACTCCCAGTTGCAGCACCACCCGCATTATAACATGCTTTTATTTGGCTCTCAAACAACTAGAGTGTGCTACAGAAGGAAATGGGGGTGGGCTGTTACATTTTGCGGGGCGTTATTCACAGGTTTTCAAATTGTCGAGAAAAACATCAATCGGGTTACAGATGGGGGATTGTGTAATGTTAAAAAAAAGAACATTTCCCCACGTTTTGTGTTTCTCTGATCAAAAAGAGGTACGGTGAAAAGGCAGGGCATTGAGATTGAAAGTTTTCCCAAAGATCTAATAAATCAATGGGCTGAATAGCCTCCTCCTGTTCCTGCTCCCCTATGCTTCCTGCGTTTCTGTCCCTCCACCTTGCCCCTTCCTTCCCCATCTTCAGGTCGCGCCTGAAGACCTTCCTGTTCGACCACGCCAACGTCACCTCCCCCTCCCCCCGGCTCGTGTCATGTGCCACCAACGTCAAGTGATCTGGGACACTACCCTTCGTGAGGGGCACTGTGTAAATGCAAGTTGTTGTTGTAGTTGTTGATTGATGTTGATTTTTGCTTTCTAAATGTGCCTTCAGGTCACTTATCATTTCGGCATATCTGTGATTTGAAAGAGGTACTCGGCAGGATTGGTACCTGGGATCTTTTGGACCTGAATGGTGGGCAGAGGTTGATAGGCGACTACCTTGGCTGTCAACACATAGCTTTGAATCGAGAGGAGGCAGACGAACTTGAATTTTCACACCACAGAAATTTGTCTGCAGGATACCTCTGGGCTCTGCTAGGCTTTTCACCCCAGGTAGGCTCAACGTAATATTACTGGTCTTAAGGCAAAATACTGCAGATGCTGGAAATCTGAAATAAAAACAGAAGTCGCTGGGAACACTCAGCAGGTCAGGCAGCATCTATGGAGAGAGGGAAGTGAGTTAACGTTTCAGTTCTAACGAAAGGTCATTGACTTGAAACGTTAACTCACTTTCCTCTCTCCATAGATGAAGCCTGATCCACGGAGTGTTCCCAGCGACTTCTGTTTTTATTTTATGTTATTGCTGGTCTTGTTTGTTTTATTCCTGGTCTTGTTTGTTTTATTCCTGTCATAAAAATGAACTGCAGGTCAAAGCATGAACGAAGCAGTAATTGAGGGATTGTGTTAAATGTATTATATTGGAGGCTGTAAACTATACCACAATAATAATAATAATAATAATCCTTGCATTTGATATAGCGCTTTTCACGTCGGGAGGACGTCCCAAAGCGCTTCACAGTACACACTGTAAAGTGAATTGACTGTATATTTGTGGGCGAACGCAGCAGCCAATTGCGCACAGCAATGTCCCACAAACAGTCGTAGATTGAAAATGACCAATTTAATTATTGTTTTTGGTTTTGGAGGGATTATTATTAGGCTCTGTGTGGAGTAAGGAAACTTGCCCAAGGTTTCGCCCTCTGCCTGGAATTGAACTCAGGTCTCTCACTTGCAAAGCGAGTGCTCTAACCACTGAGCTACAGGACTCCAGACAATGAGTTTCATAAGAAGCTTGAGCATTGAAAGTTGGAGATTGAGCCAGATTCTTGTCCATCCTTTGAAAGTTTTATTGAATGATATTTATCAACACCATTTAAAGGCCTTTTCCATGTCTCTAAATCTAATGATTCTGTGTTTACATATTTTAAACCACAGAGAATACTAAACCACAAATGAATGAATCTTGAATTCTGCAGTTTTTTTTAATTTGCATGTTGAATAGTTCCAAATATTTCGATCTTGGGAAAGAAAAAGGGTGTGCTCATTACAAATGTCCCAGTTTAAACTGTGCTATTTATACATTGTTTTGCTGATATTAATTTGCTCATCTCTTTTGAAATCTGTCAACAGTTTGCAATAGAATGAACAAAGCTCCTTGTACCATTAAATGCAGTTTGCTTTGTGGAACACGCAATTTGCATCTTTCCAATGAAAGCACAAACGTTCACAAGGCCTGATTTGCATTAACTGTTCGGAAACAATGGAGGTGTATACCTCTCTATCAGCTGATGTGATGCTATGGGAGCTCTTGGTTTGCACAAGGTTGATGGCAAATAATGTCCCGATTAGAAGCAGCGACTCAAACAAAAAATGCACAAGATTGTTTCTTTTACCTATGCTTAGCAAACTGTGTATCAGGTTGCTAAATATAGATGGTGCACTTGGATTACATACGCTTCGCTGTGAATAGTTACGTCTATGGCACTTCTTCGACATCTGTGTAACGAAGATCGTATTCTTCTATCAGTTGCTGCAAAATGCGTTGGAATTACAAAAGAACTACAAAATGCACTGATGCTGGTTGATGTACCTGCTGTTGATTTAGTGTTCGTTAAGATGTGTATGTTTTCTCCGTATTTCCATCCTAGCCCCACCAAGTTTATCCAGTGTGAATGTTTCCATTTTCCCTATTGACCATTTTTATAGTCATTTTGAGGCGGCCTTGCATTGTGCTACCAAATCCCCAATTCCGAGGTCTCTTTTGCTGGATAGAAACTTTACAAATTAACTTCACCGCAGTCATCAAACGGGCAAGCATTTGAATCCTAATCTGTTTTTAAATCAAAGTTAGTGTGTCTGCACCACAAAGTAACATGAATGAAATGTAAATGTTAATTTTCGCCCACACAATATAGTCAATTCACTTTACAATATATTCTGTGAAGCGCTTTGAGACGTCTCAAAGACGTGATAAGGCGCTATATCAAATGCAAGGATTATTATTTATTTTTATTATTTACTTTATAGAATATTATGGCGTGTTCTCTTACCATAGCTACCGGAATATAGGTTTAAATAACTAGTTCATCAAGCTGCGTGGCATTCTCATAAGTTTAAATATCCTGTTCCTCCAATTTAGCTATCGTTTTTCGTTTAGCAATCAATAATGCATTTATTGCTGTGAAGTCACATTCCTGGGATAAGCAAAAGCTCTGTCTCTTGCACTGCCTACTGTGCTAAAGTGGTTCAGATGACAGCCTTGCAGTCAGGTGCTCAGGGCAACACTGTATTTTGCCATGAAGTACTACCATGGTATGTCTTGAGGACATGTCATAGATGACTATGAGAGATATCACTGTTTGTGAGGCTGATGTCACTCATGAGTAGCGGTCAGCTGCATAGATAGAGATATTTATAATATCTCATCGCTGGTTGATATATATCGTATTTAGACTAGATGTCTAAACAAATAAATGTACTGTGTTGTAGTAAATAATTATGCAGAATCCTATTTTGTGTTCTGCAAGACACTTCAAAAAGACTCCTCACGTCAGTCAATCAGTGCAATGCCATAATATACCGGCAGTATTATGGTACTCTATAGAGTTCTCTGAACTTGCAGTCTGAGTTGATACTCAGTCTTGAGGGAAACATTGCATTGATGGAGGTGCCATTCTTTGGATGAGATGTTAAATGTTAATAACAGACCAGCCAGGCAGGAACTGGAGGAGCAGAGACTCTTCTCACTCAGCTCCTATTAACCCTGTTGGTCAAAGCTGGTATGGTGGTCCTAGCTGGACAAGAAGCGGAAAGCTTGCCAGACAGTGCTCCCAATAGGAAGCTACGCAATTTTAGCTGAGTAAACTCCAGCTGTACCCCCAACACACATTCGGGGGTCACCAAGCCTTGGCTCTCGCCAACCTGTGCTTAATACGCATTGGGATTAGGTCAGCAGGGTGCTTGCTTGTGGGGAATGAGTGCCATTCTATTCCTGACACATGGGAATTTCCATATGTAGGTGGAATGCATATGGTTTGGATACTCTTAAGCCTGGCTATGGGTTTCCTCTTGAGTCAGGCACCCAGCTGACCAAAAAAAAAAAAATGTTGACACAAGAAGAATTTAGATGTGTACTTGAACTAAAACAAAGTTTTGCTTGAAAACAAAGCTGCTGTTTTACACAGGCATTGGTTGCAGCAGTAATAAATTACATACAAGTGCTGCAGAACAATAGCCAAAAAACCTGCTAGTCATCCATTTAATACATTTACAAGAAATCAATATCAATACTTAATGCAATGCTGGTGAAAAATGAGGAAAGGCACAGAAAGCATAATAAACCTGAAATGAAGGGCCGTGCAGTGCTCCACTTTTAAGCGAAAAACTAGCTGTCTATATTTTCATGTACATAGATATTTCAGAGGTGATAGGTTTTTGAAGGAATTTTTATTTGCTCATATAAATTGTTGTAGGGTGCAATCTACATGTTGCATTTAATTCCATATTCATACCTACTCTTTGCATTCCATTTTGTTTAAATCGTACAGTCCAATTTTCCTTGAAAAAAATAACTTCACATATATGCATATATATGTACACAAAAAAAGGATATTGTTCACCTAAACCTTGCTCTGTTTGATGTAATTTTGTAAACCATTCCTGCTTCATTTGATGTTACAGGGCATGGCAAAATTCAAGGGTCATAATTGCAGCAATCAGTACTGTAAAGACGACTTACTCCTTATGTGTGAGAGATATGAAGTCGAATAGCAGAACCTGATAGGGGAAATTTAGAATCAATAAAAACGAAAAACTTCTGTGTTATCAAACTTGAGTGGGAAGATGTCAAATATTTAAGATACCATTGAGATTTCCTGTTGGATTTCACATCTTTGGCCATTGCACCAGCCTGGCACACTCAGTTGCATGCTCATCTCTGAGTCAGAAGGTTGTGGGACCAAGCCCCATGTTGGGACTTTGAGCTAACTATCCAGTGCAGCGCTGGGGGAATTGCTGGGTTGTTGGTGATCCCTTCCTTTGGACGAAACATTAAACCAAGGTCCTGTCTGTTTGTTCAGAAGAACGTTAAAGACCCCATGGTACTATTCATAAACAAGGGATTTTCTCCCGGAGTTCTGGCCAACATTCCCCCTGAGATAAAAGAAAAAAAAAATGATCATTCACTTCATGGCTGATAGTAGGACTTAGTTGTGCACAAATTGTGCACTAGGTTTGCCTACAAATGACAACACTTTACAACAAATCTTTTGACTCACTTTGAGACATCCTCCTGATGTGAAAGGTGCTGTATCAAATGAAAAGATTATTGCTATTATTTTACATCCCTTCTCTTGCCTCCAAAAGACCTGGTTTGCGGCGATGATAAGGTACATCTTGTCGTTGCTAAACTTAAATTACAGACATTTATACAATTTCAAATTATCTTCAGGCAGTGACAAAAGCATTAAGGTACGGTTTACATACATACTTTGTGGATTTGTCCTACATTTTAGCCTGTGCCCTGCATTTTACATCTTGGTAAACATGCTCATTCAGCAAAATACATGTCAATCTATAAGAGCTTTTTCACAAAAAAAGAAAGATGTGTGATAATGTTTCCTTACTGCAGCTACTGAATCGTTTTCTCGTGTTTTCCCCAAGTGTGCAGCATCCGTAGGAGCAGCATTTGAAAGTTCATGCAAATGTTTCATTATTCCTCACCTACTTAGCTGCCAGACACATTGGTGAGCCGTTTCTTTACTCGCACTATAAGCTATAACTTTGCTGCCCTCCAGCAATGAATTGACCTCATTCCATTACCTGACCTGACCATGCTCTAGTAAAGACTTGACCATGCTCTCCTTATACACACTGACGATACTCCATGACAGGCCTTGTGGCACTTTGTTAAAATCTGATACTTTTCCCACAATAAGATCTTACTACTAAATGACCCTCAACACATTTACACACCTCGATCCCTCTGTCATACTTCGAGTCTCCAAAAATCTATGCTGTCTGATTGACAGTCTTCTTGAGGTTTGCCCGTTTGA